AATCATGGGAGAAAGAAGGGCTGTTTATGCACAGGGAGACAGCTCAGGGGGCAGGAGTGCATGGAGGGAAGGATACAGGGAAAAGGTACTATGGGGAGGAAGTGGGAGGGGAACTGTTGCTTTATGGTAAATTGTCATCAATGTCATGAGACAGTGTATGTGAGCTGCTGTCTGGAAAGTAAATTTGCTCTGTAAACTTTCACCCAGATCACAATTAAAAAAAAAAAAAAAAGAGAAAGGTATGTCTCAGGAATTAGCCAGTATATGAAGTGTTGATTATCTCTAGCCATGTTGTCAAAAGTAGTCACTCACCTGTCTTGTTATTGTGATTTCATCATGAACCTCGAATCCTAAAGGACTTTGCTTTTTGTCAGAATTATCAAAGGTGATGGACACTGAGGCTTTGGTAATACCAGCCTGTCCATTCTTGTAAACTAAATCTTGTAAATTAGAAGCCCGAACCTAAAATAGGAGAAAAGTTATCACTTACAAAACACCATATGGCAAAATGTAGTATTAAATATGTGCTTCTACTACTGGAAAACCTACCTATACTGCATCCATTAAACAGTCAAGGATAAGTAATTTTATCTACTAGCAAGGAATACCGGCAACCTACAATGGGCATCTCCCTCTACGGGACCTCCTCATCAACCCTGAACTGAATGGTTTTCTATTGTTTCTTGACAAGTGTCCATCAGAAAGATTTGCTGCTGTTGTTGTGGTTAGGTGCCATCAAGTCAGTTCCGACTCATAGCAACCCTGTACAACAGAAGGAAACATTGCTTGGTCCTATGCCATCCTCACAATCATTGCTCTTTGAGCTCACTGCTGCAGTGATTACGTTAATCCATCTTGTTGAGGATCTTTCTCTTGTTCACTGACCCTCTACTTTCCCATAAAGGCGCTCTGGTGGTACAGTGGCTAAGGTACTTGGCTGTTAATCAAACTGTTGGTGGTTCAAACCCACCATGTGCTCTACAGATGAAAGATGAGGCAATCTGCTTCCATAAAGATTTATAGCCTCGAAAACATTATAGGGCAGTTCTACTATAGGGTTGCTATAAGTCAGAATTGACTCAATGATGGCAGTGGGCTAGATACTTTACCAAGCATGATGCCCTTCTCCAGGGACAGACCCCTCCTGATAACATGTCCAAAGTACATAAGCCAAAGTCTCATCATCACTGCTTCTAAGAAGCATTCTGGCTGTAGTTCTTTTAAGACATTCTTACGGCAGTACATGTGGTTGCTGTTGTTAGGTACAGTCAAAACGGTTCCGACTTACAGCTAGCTACCCAACACACGATGGGACAAAACAACACCTGGTCCTGCACCACCCCCATAATCACAGCTATGCTTAAGCCCACTGTTGCAGCCACTCTCAGCTCATCTTCCTGAGGGTCTTCATCTTTTTCACTTACCTGCTAACTTTCAAGTATGATCTCCTTCTCCAGGGACTGGCCCCTTCTGAAAGCATGTCTAAAATATGAGAGGTGAAATCTCACCATCTTCGCTTCTAAGGAGCATTCCAGTTGCACTTCACCCAAAGCAGATTTATTTGTTCTTCTGGCAGTCCTTGGTATACTCAGTATTCGTCACCAACACAGTAATTCAAATGCATCAGTTTTTCTTTAGTCTTCCTTATTCATTGCCCAGCTTTCGAATGTATGTGAGATGATTAGAAAAACTCATGGCTTGAGTCAGGTGCACCTTAGACTTCAGAGTGACATCTTTGCTCTGGAACACTTTAAAGAGATCTTTTGCAGTGGATCTGACGAATGCAATAAGTCATTTGATTTCTCAACTGCTGCTTCCATGGGCACTGATCATGGATCCCTGTAAAATGAAACTCTTGACCACTTCATTATTTTCTCCATTTATCATGAATTTGCTTATTGGTCCAGTTGTGAGGATTTTTGTTTTCATTATTTTGAGGTATAATCCATACAGAAGGCCATAATCTTTGATCTTCATCAGTAAGTGCTTCAAGTCTCCATCACTTTCAGCAATCAAGGTTGTGTCATCTGCATATCACAGGTTGTTAATGAGTCTTCCTCCAATCCTGATGCCATGTTTTTCTTCATATAATCCAGCTTCTCAGATTATTTACTCAGCATACAGATTGAATAAATATGGTGAAAGGATACAACCCTGATGTACTATCCTGATTTTAAAATACACAGTATCCCCTTGTTCTGTTTGAATGTCTGCTTCTTGGTCCATGTATAGGATACTCATGAGCACAGCTCAGTGTTCTAGAATTTCAGTTCTTCACTATGGTCCCTATGGGGCAGTTCTACTATGTCCTAAAGGGCTGCTTTGAGTCGGAATGGACTCAATGCCAGTGGATTTGTTTGTTCTTTAAATCTTCCCTTAAAAAGTTTGGTTGGTGCAGTGCCTAAGGCATTTGACTGCTCACGAGAAGGTTGGTGGTTCAAACCCAACAGCCACTCTGCAGAAGGAAGACTGGGCTATCTACTTCCATAAAGATTTACCGCCTCGGAAACCCAGCGGGGGTCACTATGAGTCCAAATCGACTTGATGGTGGGTTTTTGTTTTTTTTAAGAGAGAGTTTCCAATTTGTTATGATACACAGTTGAATGCCTTTGCAAAGTCAATTAAACACAGGCAAATAGCTTCCTTATATTCTCGGCTTTCAGCTAAGATCTATGACATTAGCAACAGTATCTCTTGTTTCACATTCTCTTCTGAATCTGGCTTGAATTTCAGGCCATTTCCTAGTATACTGCTGCAACAGTGCTTGAATTATTTTTAACAAAATTTTATCTGCACATGTTATTAATGGTATCGTTCAATAATCTCCATATTCTGCTGGATTACCTTTCTTAGGAATGGGCACAAATATGGATGTCTTCCAATTGGTTGGTATGTTATTTTTTGCCAACACCCATAATTCAAATGCATTAATTCTTCTTCAGTCTTCTATATTCAGAAAGATTTCAGGGAATTAAAGACCAAACCCACAGCTGTGGAGTACTTCTGACTCGTAGTGACTCTATAGGACAGAGCAGAACTGGCCCATAGGGTTTCCAAACGAATCAATCTTTACAAAAGCAGACTGCTACATTTTTCTTCCGCAAAGCAGCTGGTGAGCAGGATCTTTTGGTTAGCAGCTGAGCACTGTAACCACTATCCTACCAGAGTTCTCTTAAGGGAAGATTAAAAACAATAACAACAAGAAAAACCCATTGCCACTGAGTGGATCCCAACTCAAAGCAACCCTTTAAGGACAGAGGAGAATTGCCAAATAAGGTTTACAAGGCTGTAAATCTTTTTGGAAGCAGATTGCCTCATCTTTCTCCTGTGAAGTGGCTGATGGGTTTGAAATACTGACCTTCCAGTTAGCAGCTGAATATTTTAACCCCTATACTATCAGAACACCTTAAGGAAAGTGTCTGAGAAATTCACTATTCATCAACTCCCCTTAGTAGCAGGTCCTCTAAAGGCATTACAGTGCTGGGAGTAAAAACAGACACTCTAGAGTGAGATGCTTTAAGTAAGAATGTCTGAGTTTGAGTGTTTCTCCATAATGTCATAAAAGAATGAATCTTTTCAGACCAATTTCTTGACACAAAGTTTCTACTTTCTTATCTAAAACAAGAATGGAATGATAATAGTACTAGTCACCTTAAAGAGTTACAGTGAGATATAAGATTATTCACATAAAGTACAATACACAATATTTAAATATTAAAACAAAAGACAAAGAGAAAATAACTGCAACAGTCTCTAAGTTTGAAGACAACTTCCTCACCAAACTTAAATTCACATAAATCAGATTATACTTATACCTGAGACAAGTTGGAAATGCCCAGCAAAAAGCAGATAGAGTCCAGTATGTTGGATTTTCCACTACCATTTAAACCAGTGATGGCATTGAAGAGGGGATCAAAACCGTTGACTTCAGTCCTCTGAGCATAGGACTTGAATCCCTCCAGAATGATTGACTTAATATGCATCTTCACTACTGCCTTCCACTGGTGAACCCCTGCTAGGATCAAACAGGTCACAAACCAGTTCTGTACAAAGCAGAAATGACAAACTGTGAATGGAATACAAATTTGAGGTTCATACTGAATGTGAAAGACAAAAATAGAGGAGTAACTGCCCAGACTAAATAAAAGTCACTTTCCACGCTATCTCTCCTGATGTAAAGATCTCTTTCCCTCCTTAAAATCATGCTAGAGTTAACCACGACCTGGAAGTAAATTAACCCATTGAGCCTGGAACCCAAAGCCTTTAGCACATCACCTATCTACTTTTCCAAATACGCCTTCCACCTCTATCCTTATCAGGCTTAACTTTTGTCATGGTCGGACCCGACTCATAGCGACCCCTCCTTGGATCTCCGAGGCAGTTATCACTACGGAAGTAGATTGCCCCATCTTCTTTCCGAGGAGTGGCTGGTGGGTTTGAACCGCCAGCCTTCTGGTTAGCAATCAAGTGCCTTCGGCACTACGCTACCAGAGCTCCTTGGCTTAATTAGATTACCGATTATTTCATATACCATCCCTTTCCTCGTAAAGTGCTCTGTCCCCCCCAAAATAACACAATCCTAGCATGGCACACGCTACTGCACCGGCGATTTTACTCCAAAGTTCTTGACCTCCCTACGTAAAACGCATCCTCTCACCCTGTTCTCTTTTTCCTCATTTCACCTAAGGCTGCCACTAACCAGTATTTTTCTGTCCTACTCATTATAATGTAAGGATCTTCGCCTACTTCTCCCGCTGTATATCCAAATAGTGACTTACTCATGGAATGGACCAGTAAATACCAGATAAAGCCCATATATTCCCCAGACTGTGACATTTACTCGGGCTGTTCTCTTGCCTCACCAGGCCTTTCTGTCAATACTTCCTCACCCTACTCTGAAAGTGCACAGAAATAAGGCTTCCTGCCAGGGACCCTTTAACCCTAATTCTCATCTGAGACCTCCTCCTTGCTACTCCTTTCTCCCACCCACATTTCCCGCCAGGTCCAACCGGCCGCGAGCACGCACCTGACTCGTCGCTGCCTCAGGCTCTGGGCCACTGGCGCCCGGAGGATTCCCTCAAGTCACAAGTGTGGCGCGCGGGCTAAAAATGCCCGGCTTCGGGCTCTAGGCAGCAAACTCTACCATAGCGGCCCCAACACTGGCCCTGAGCGCAGAGCCGGTGCCGGAACTATTTATTTCTTTGAATTTCGGCGCGAGTGAAGGACCCCACCTCCACAGCCTATTTCCTTTGCTGCCGTCTAGAAGTTGCCTGATTTCCTAGTTCCATCTTTTAACTACAATCGAGGGATCAATGAGACAAGGAGATTGGAAAGAAAGTTCTGGTAATGAGGGCTCCGGCTATGCGGCGCTGATCGCAAGGCGAGTAAAGCAGCAGGTGGTATATATTGATACGCGGATCCGGCACATCTCGGGCAGACCTAGGACTCAGCCTCGGGGCCTGTGCCAGGGCAGCCCCGCCCCGCCGCGGGCCGCGCTCCGGAAGCTCCGCCTCTTGGAGGGCCTGCGGAAGGCTCTACTGCGGGCTGCTGTATTCTCGGCGCGCCAAGGTGGGGAGGCTGGGAGTATGAAGATTTTTCCCTTGGGTGTCTTCGCTCTTTGAATAGTCAGAGTCTCCTTTGGTTGGTCCTGATTCCTCAAAAACGGAAGATGCACTTTGTTGGCGCAGTGGAGGCGCAGGCCTCATGAGGACTCGTCGCGTTCTGGCTCCGCCTCCCGTCGGCTTCTGACGGGGCGGGCCTTTAATGCTCCGTTTTTTATAAGGCAAAGTGGTACTTGCCGCTTAGAGCCTTGCTGGGGCCTAAGAGATAAGTTTGTGGGGCCGAGAGTGGGTGCTTTACGGTAGTAGCTTACCAAAAGGACCTTGCTATTAAAGTAGATGTTCGCCTTGCATTGCGTAGCTATATATGATAACACGGTGGCAGAACTTTCCTGGGGATCTCGGAATTATTCTGGAAACCCTTTACTTTGGTGAATATTATTTACTGAGCTCTGTGTGCCAAGTACTTTTTAAAATTCTCGTAGCAACCTCACTAAATCCGTCTTCCTGATTGCAGTTTACACAATAGGTAAAGTGAACCACGAAGTTTAAGCAACTTGCCCAGGTAGTGAGTGGAGAAACCGGGAGGATTTCCCGGGCTGCCTGGCCCCTGAGACCGCGCACTTAAATACTTGCGCCCATGGCTGCATGTACAGAATCTAGCACTGTCAATAGCTAGTCCTGTTTACCAGTGAGTATTGCTCTTTAAGGGAGCGCTGGTGGTGTAGTGCCTGAGGCGCTGGACTGCTAACCAGACGGCTGGCGGTTCAAACCCACCAGCCACTCCTCGGAAGGAAGGTTGCGCAATCTACTTGCGTAGAGATTGTTGTTGTTGTTGTGTGCCGTCGAGTCGGCCCGACTCATAGCGACCCCTCCTTGGGTTTCCGAGGCAGTATCACTACGGAGGTAGGATTGCCCAACCTTCCTTTCGAGGAGTGGCTGGTGGGTTTGAACCGCCAGCCGTCTGGTTAGCAGGCAAGTGTCTTAGCCACTATGCTACCAGAGCTCCCTAATAAATGAAATATACTTAATGACTGAGTAGTCCATTGCCACAAGAGGGAGGTGGTATATAATGAAAATAAAAATAATTTTAAAAAGATTAATTCTTAGATGAAAAGTAATTCTTTGCCCTTTTGAAGTATGTATCAGGCAGGATTTGGTCAAAAAAACAAAACCATTTTTTGGCTATTTCAGTAAGGGAGTAATTTCATTTAGGTATAAGAAGACCGTGTGACCAATGTGTTCTTTTAGGGCATATATTTAAAGTTGTTTTCTTGGTCCCAGAATGGCTTTGCAGTCATTCACATCAATCTTAAACCACCAAGAATGGGCCCTATTTTGAAATACTTTGTCTGTTTAAGAGAGTAAAATAGTTTTGGGGTTTGTTTACTCTCATATGCTACCCCCTTTTATGAGATCATTCACAGTGGTGTCCTGCTCAACCAAACCCAAATTCACTGCCATGGAGTCGATTCTGACTCAGCAATCCCCATTGGGTTTCCTAGGCGGTGGGTAAATCTTCATGTAAGCAGACTGCTCCATCTTTGTTCTGCCAAGTGGCTGGTGGTTTCAAACCACTGACCTTTTGGTTAGCACTCAGATGCCTTAACCAGTCTACCACCACCTAACATAAGTTTAATTTTGTCTGCCATGATTCCTGCATCCCCTACATCTTACAGTTACTCATGTATATTGATTCTATCAAATCTTAGACATTTACTTTCAGCTATGTTCCCTTCATTACTTTGTGAGTAAAGAATGTTAATTTGCCCACAACTGACATTGTGAAGTAAACTGTTCATTGGGTGAAAATATAAGTGTTAAGACAGACATTATTATCCTTTGCACTAACTTTAATAGATAAATAACCAGCAATATACTTAAATGGATGAAAACTTTAATGCAAATATACTTCTAGCTTGTTTTAAGAATATTGTTGTTGTTGTTGTTGTGTGCCGTCGAGTCGGCCCCGACTCATAGCGACCCCTCCTTGGGTTTCCGAGGCAGTATCACTACGGAAG